CCATGGTCAGGTTTTTGGTTTGTCCACCATTTGACAATTTTTTTATATATTTTTTTTTCTTCAAGCACGACTACTGTCACTTACTTGTGGTTAGGTTGTAGCATACAAAAACACGAACAACAACAATGACAACAACAAAAAAAGAAGAAGGCGGACAAAAAAGAAAGAAACGTAATTACCAAATGTAGATCTGTTTTGGTATGCATCACAACACGCACTCGGCGCTGGTCGGAGTAGTGTGGTGGGGCCATTGTGATGCGGTGTAATATAATATTGTGGCTTACGTATATAAGAGCCTCCAAGCACCCTCCCCCTCTCTGCCACTCCTTTAGCCACCCAAATAAAAGCGCAAATAAGTGTTGTCTACATTTTTGTTTTATTTTTGCACAACACGTTCCGACTATTTAAAGTAATCTGAGCTGTTTAATTTTCGATGTTGTTGTTGTTGAGATTTTTTTTCACAGCAGTAGATACCATAAATGGACCAAACAACTTGCCACAATATCAGCAACAACATTGGTGGTTCGGTTGGTCATATCGCTGACCAAACAATCAACCAAACTCTGTGGTGTTGATATTGAGGCAAGCGAACCGATCTGATCCAAAGTGACTTCATTCATTCCATCACGAGGCATTTGGGGGTATCGAAGTCGAAGTCTCAGTTATATGGTTTTAGTGGCAACCAACAAATACATTCAGGTATTAAATAATCATTTTTTTCCATTATTATTTTTATGGTGGGCCCCTTGTTTTGTTTTCTTTTTCCGATTTTCCTAAAACACCAATAAATACCATATAAACAAATATGTGAGTGTGTGCGTGTTTGTAATTAATAAATATTAGTTAACAATAACTGTAACATGAGTAAAAGTGTCAACTGGTAGCGGCTACAGCAGACCATAGAAAATGCAGTCTGGTCGGTTTTTTGTTTTCTATGAAATTTCATAATCGATATTTTTTGTCATATCGAAGTGTTCGAAGTCGGGGAGATTAAATAGCAAAGTGGAAATTTGTAATTTAGCCTACACCAACACCGGTAGCCAATGGCAGATGCCAGGTATCAACGGCATTGTTTTTTGTTATGATTGAGCGGGCTCCATATGAAACTCCTAGGGAATTGAGGTTTTATTTGAATTTTAAAGGAGGATGTTTGTGTCTTAAGTCTTTTGTTTTAATTCACAAGGTGGGGTAAAAAATTATTATAAAATTTTTTCTGAGTAATGTGGGTCTTGGTGTGGGTCTAGGTGGTCCCTGAAAATAATCTTAGAATATACAAACACATGACACATGTTGTGCCCTAAGAAAATCCGCACCCAGGCCCTAGGGACCCTTGACAAAATATTAAAATAAAATAAAAAAAAAATACAGAAGAAATATCCAGATCTTCCGATATTTAAAAATCCGGATTTTCATAAGTTTACACTTCTTTAAAAAAAAAAACTTAATAATCTTAAAAATTGGGTCCGGTCGAACGGGATTACACTATTCGTCATATGGTGGATATTGCAAATACCTTAAATCGATTGGGACTTTTATATGTGGGTGGGTCTATGTCATGGTAAATTACTGCCATCAAATTAGACACAATTCAGTTTAAAAATACGCCCAAAATCCTTAAAATATCGAAGATCGGGGGATACCTTTACATGGGAAATATACGAAAACATGTACCGATATTGATAATTCTTGGTGAGAAGGTAGACTACCCAATGAGAACCCAACATACCAAATTACAGCTAATTCGCTTGAAAACCGTACCCGAAATCCTAAAAATTTCGAAAATCGGGAGACACCTTAATTTGGGAGCTGTACCTATATTGATAATTTTTGGTGGGAAGGTTGACTACCCAATGAGAAAACAAAAAATATCAAATTACAGTTAATTCGGTTGAAAACCGCACCCCAAATTCTAAAAATATCGAAGATCGGGCATACCTTTATATGGGGGGCAATACGAAAACGTGGACCGATATTGATAATTCTTGGTGGGAAGGTCGACTACCCAATGAGAACGCAACATACCAAATTACAGCTAATTCGCGTGAAAACAGTACCCAAAATCCTCAAAAATATCGAAAATCGGGAGGCACCTTAATATGGGAGCTATAACAAAACGTGGACCTATATTGATTATTTTTGGTAGGAAGATTGATTACCCAATGAGAACCTTAAATATCAAATTACAGCCAATTCGGTTAAAAAACATGCCCGAAATTCGGAAAATTTGAGGTTCCGTCATATGGGGGTTACGATAAAAACTAGACCGATTTTGATAATTTTTGGTGGGAAGGTCGACTACTCAATGAGAACCCAAAATATAAAATTACAGTTAATACAGTTGAAAACCGTATGTAAAATCCACAAAATATCGAAAATCGGAAGGTATCTTTATATAGGGGGTTACCCTAAAAAGTTTAACGATAATATCAATTTTTAGTGGGAAGGTCGACTACCCAATGAGAACCTTAAATATCAAATTACAGCCAATTCGGTTAAAAAACATGCCCGAAATTCGGAAAATTTGAGGTTCCGTCATATGGGGGCTACTATAAAAAATGGACCGATGTTGATAATTTTTGGTGGGAAGGTTTGCTACCGAATGAAAAGTCAAAATATCAAATTACAGGCAATTCGGTTGAAAAATGCGCACAATCCCCACAAAATACCGACAATTTCGAGGTATTTTTAGATGGGGCCTATACCTAAATGTGGATCGATATTTATAACTTTTAGTATGAAGGTTTGCTACCGAATGAGAACTCAAAATATCAAATTACAACCAATTCGGTTGAAAACCGTACCCAAAATGATCAAAATATCGAAAATCGGAAGGTACTTTTATATGGGGGCTACCCTAAAAAGTGGACCGATAATAATAATTTTTAGTAGGAAGGTCTGCTACCTAATGAGAACCCAATATATTAAATTACAGCCACTTCGATTTAAATACTTGCCCAAAATCTCAAAATAATATCGAAAATTTCGAAGTATCGTTACATGGGAGCTACCCTAAAAAGTAGACCAACATCTATAATTTTTTTGTGGGAAGGTCAACTACCCAATCAGAAATTGAAATACGAAAATACAGTCAATTCGATTGGAAAATATGCCCAAGATCCCAAAAATATCGATAGTTTCGAAGTATAGTTATATGAGGGCTATACCTAAAAGTTGCCCGATATAGATAGTTTTTGGTGGGAAGGTCAACTATCCAATGAGAACTCAATATATCACATTACAGCCAATTCAGTTGAAATATGTGACCAAGATCCCAAAATATCGAAAATTTCGAAGTATCGATACAAGGGGGCTATACCCAAAAGAGGGCTGATATTAATAATTTTCGGTGGGAAGATCGACTATGCTATCAGAGATCAAAATACTAAAATACAGTCAATTCGATTGAAAAATGTCTCCAAAATCCTCAAAATACCGTAAATCGAGGGTTCCGTTATATGGGTGCCATACCTAAAAGTGAATCGATATTGATAATTTTTGGTGAGAAGGTTGGCTACCCAATGAGAACCTAAAATACCATATTACATCCAAATCGGTTGAAATTCGTGCCCAAGATCCCTAAAATATCGAAAATTTCGAAGTATCGTTACAAGGGGGCTACACCTAAAAGAAGACCGATATTGATAATTTTCGGTGGGAAGGTCGACTATGCAATCAGACATCAAAATACTAAAATACAGTCAATTCGTTTGAAGAATGTCTCCAAAATCCTCAAAATACCGTAAATCGAGGGTTCCGCTGTATGGGTGCCATACCTAAAAGTGAATCGATATTGATAATTCTTGGTGGGAAGGTTGGCTACACAATGAGAACCTAAAATACCATATTACATTCAAATCGGTTGAAATTCGTGCCCAAGATCCCTAAAATATCGAACATTTCGAAGTATCGTTACATGGGAGCTACCCTAAAAAGTGGACCAACGAGTATAATTTTTTGTGGGAAGCTTAACTACTCAATGATAAATCACAATACCAAATTACAGTCAATTAGATGGAGAAAACGTTTTCAAAATTCTCAAAATACCGAAAATCGAGGGTACCATTATATGGGGCCTACTTCGACAGTTGGGCCAATATTGATAATTTTTGGTTGTAAGATTTTCTAGCCAATGAGAACCCAAAATACCATATTACAAACAAATCTGATGAAAAACCTGCTTAAGTTCCCCAAAATATCGAATAATGGGGGCTGCCGTGGAGGTATACCTAAACGTGGACCGATATAGACAACTTTTTGTGAAAGGGTTTACTACCCAATGAGAACCCAAAATACAAAATTACAGTCAAATCGATTGGAATAAACGTGTCCAAATTTTCCAAAATACCTTAAATCGAGGGTACGGTTATATGGGTGCTATACCTACATCTTGACCGATATTGATAATTTTTGGTGGGAAGATTTGCTGCCTAGTGAGAATCTAAAATACAAAATTACAGTCAACATCGTTGAAAAAAGAGGCCAATCTCTCTAAAATATCGAAAGCTGACATGTGCCGTTATATAGGGACTACAATAAAAAATGGATCGATATTGATAATTTTTCGTAGAGAGATTTTGTACCTACTGAGGACCCAAAGTACTAAATTACAGCCAATTCGGTTGAAATTCATGCCCAAGATCCCCAAAATACCGAAATTCAGCAGGTTCGGTAAAATGGAAGCTATCCAAAAAAAAAAAAAAAAAAAAAAAAAATGAACCAATTCTCATAATTTTTGGTAGGGAGGTTTGCTACACAATGAGAACCCAAAATACCAAATTTCAGCCAATTCGATTCAAAACTGTGGTCAAGCTCCCTAAAATATCGATTTTTTTGGAGATATCTTCCTATGGAGCTATAGCAAAACGTGATCCGATATTTGCTATTTTTCCACTGATATTCAAAATTCCTAAATAAAATATTAAATTGTTTTTTTTTTATTAAATAATATTTTTATAAAGAAATCCGATTTAAGCCTCAGGGCCTCCCCTTGTTCCGAATATCTACTTCGCACAATAGCAAGCATCTCTGGTATTGGCCGCGATCCAATCTAAATATTTGCTAACTCGCGTATAGACACCGGGAGCATCGGGGCTGGCACAGCCATAGCCAAAGGAAACGACACCGGCCAAGCGGAATATGCCTTCGCGGACAATCAAGGGACCGCCACTGTCACCCTGAAAAATATAAAATTTTTAAAGGGGATGATAGGAAGAGAAAAGGTAGAAATTTGACTCATTTTACCTGACAGGCATCCTTGCCACCCTCCAAATAGCCGGCACACAACATTGTCTCCAAAATCATTGACTTATACGAAGTTGCCCTACACTGGGCATTGGTGAGCACTGGCACGGTGACTTCACGCAAAAAATTCGACGACGAACCTCCGTCCGAAGTCAAACCCCAACCGGCCACAATGGCAGGTTTAAAATCAAAATTATGATTACTGGTAAGAGGTAGGCAGACGGGCCTAATGGGATCTTTGAGTGGCACCGGTTGATCGAATTTCAGCAGGGCAATATCATGTTGCGAAGTGGCTGGACTATAACGACGATGCATATTGACGGCTACCACTTTGCGGAGAATACCCTCCGAGGCAGCATTGCGATCCAGTTGGAGTAGACGCACGGTCAAACCCTTGGGATCCATGCCATGGACACAATGGGCCGCCGTCAGGGCATAACGATCATTGATCAGGGTGGCACCACAAAATTGAAATGAGCCCCTCAACACCTGGGCAATCCAGGGGTATTTATTCGTTTTCACTTGCGAACCACCAACAATGCGATTGATGTTCGGAACACCACAGGCTGGGAGAAGAAGGGAGGAGCAATTTTAGAGGTTAGGTGGGGAAATTGTTGTTCTTGTTCGCATACTTACTACAACTGGCACATTTATTGCCCTGAAAAGCCTTCCCCTCCTGGCTATGCACAAATTGTGATGAGACTCCGGAGGCCGAATTGGACCCTCCGAGAATTGAGAGCAAAATTTGTTGTTTTTGTTCGGTAATGATGTCATCTATGAAATCACCCTGTACCCCTGGTGGCAGACCTCCAGAATCTGTGTTATTTTCCTCTAGGTCCCTGGTGGGCTTCTGATAGACCTCTTCAAAGCCATAGCTGGGTTTGGGGTAGTCATAACCCTAAAATGAGAGATTTTTTCTAATTTTTTTTTCACTTTCAAGTGTCACAACAGAAAATTTACCGCTCCATAACCCTTTGCGGCCAACTGCCACAGCAGGAAAATTACGAAAATTAATTTCATCTCCGCGGACACCAACAAAAAAATTAGGTTAATTTTTTTCCGAATTCAATTCTTTTGTTTCACTTCTGTTCCCAAAAAATTCCGCTACCGAACCGATCAAAGATAACGAAGATGCGAACCGTTTAATCTCACCATCAATACTGCCAAAGAAAGTTGGTCATTAACGGTTCTTATATCACTTCGCAGTAGCCTCAGAAAACGTAAATGACCAGACATCATCTCCTTCAGTATAAACTTCGTCATCATCATCGTCATCCGAACACGCGAATTTATTTCAAGAATATTTTTCACATTTTTCGATGAACCGAAATAAAAACACAACCCTTAAGAATTCCATGGCCTGAGAACATCGCTTCGAAGTAAAAAATTCGCTGCCGGGCAATTAAAATGTACATTTTATGTTCGATCATGGTTAACCTGAAGCCATCCATCCCATTATGCGGTCGTGAATTGTGAAGTGGTTTGGCCAGTCTACTGCCCTTTTTTTGTAATTCTGCTGCGTCTCCCGCAGAATCCGAACAAACGTTTTTTTGGTTGGTTTTATTAATTAATTAAAAACAACAACAACAATCGAATAAATAACGACCCAAATAAAATTTTAAATGATAGTGACCTAAATAATCAGTAAAAGATAAGCAAAGGTGACAAATCGAATTTTTATTCCGAACGAAAGACTTAAGACACGAACTCGATATAGAACAAATGAAAATAAAAGTCAGAAGATATAAAATTTTATCGTATTTTATATACCTGAAGTCAATATAATCAATTAAAATTGATTTTCCTTCAATTTTCATGATTTTTTTGTAATATCGTAAATTTACGATATTGCCAAAATCCATGGAAAATCACTAGAAATGGATGTACTTTGTCTTTGTCTATTGATATTTTGACATTTCCAAGATTTTTGAGCAATTTTTCTAATATCGTAAATTTACGATATTAGAAAAATACAGTAAAAATCACTGAAAATTACCGCTTCAGCATTTATAAGTTAATATTTTAAGATTTCCGACATTTTTCAGCACTTTTTCTTATATCGCAAATTTACGATATTACGAAAATCAAGCAAAAAACAATAAAAAATTATGTAAAAAATGTATATTCAGTTAAAAAGACTACAAATGATCTCTACAGCCTTTATACATTGAAATTTTAACGTTTCCGAAAATTTTTTGTTAATTTTTCTAATATCGTAAATTTACGATATTGCCAATATCCAAGGGAAATCACTAGAAATTGTCTATTTTGCTTTTATAATTTTGACATTTCCAAGATTATTTTTCTATAAAATTTACAATTTTAAAATTACCTCCAGCATTTATAAGTTAATATTTTAAATTTTTTTTCAGACTTTTTCTAATATCGTAAATTTACGATATTGCGAAAATCAAGCAAAAAACAATAAAAATTATATAAAAAATGTATATTCAGTTAAAAAGACTACAAATGATCTCTACAGCCTTTATACATTGAAACTTTAACGTTTCCGAAAAATTTCCTGTAATTTTTCTAATATCGTAAATTTACGATATTGTCAAAATCCACTGAAAAATGATGGGAATTTTTTTAATAACACTTAGATATTGATATTTTAACATTTCCGGACTTTTTCAGCACTTTTTCTAATATCGTAAATTTACGATATTACAAAAATCCGGCGGAAATTAATAAAAGCTAGCATAATTAAATTTATATACGACCAAAATCCAATTAAAAAGACTACACATAATCTCTATAGTCTTTCTACATTGAAATTTTCACATTTCCGAAAATTTTCTGGTAATTTTTCTAATATCGTAAATTTACGTAATTGCCAAAATAAACCAAAAAGCCATTGGAAATGTTTTAGTAGCTTTTATATATTGATATTTTAACATATCTGACATTTTTCGTCACTTTTTCTAATATCGTAATATTACGATATTGCGAAAATCAAGCGGGAAACAATAAAAAAACATATGATAAAATTAAAAATGCACTTCATAACACTACAGATGATCTCTATAGCCTTTATACTTTGAAATTTTAAAATTTTCGTAAATTTTTCTAATATCGTAAATTTACGATATTAGGAAATTGTGGTAAAAATTCATTATTTTGTTAGGAGTTATGATTCTAATGAAGTTTAATGCATATTCTTCCCACATTTCCATTATATATGATTATTTTTCGCAATATCGTAAATTTTTATGGTCAATAATTTTATGAAAATTGAAGAAAAATATTGCTGTTGAGTTTATTATTAAAGAACTCGAAGTTTTATAGATTGTTTTTTGTTGAAATCCTGAAATTTTGTAATATCGTAAATTTACGATATTAGAAAAAATTGTCAAAAATTCATTTTTTATGTTAAAATGTAACTTTTTATTAGGGTTTTGGTTGTTTTCTTTGCCAAAAATCGAATATCGTAAATTTACGATATTAGATTTTTTCAAAGAAAATTGAATTTTTCAACTAAAAATGATAATGAAATACGATATTTTCTATAAAATAGAGAGAGTAAACTGTTAAAAATATATTTTTTCTCCCCACAACCTTATTTTATTTGGCTTAAAAGTTAAATATCGTAAATTTTCATTTTTCTTTTATTATCACATTGACCTCCATGTTTTTTATATGAGGAAGTAATCACAAATCGGATTCCAATAATGGTTTTTAATTGGAACTTTTGCATATAATTTAACCATTTACTAATCAATTCCAACACATAATGGGGCTTGTAATTGTCCCGACAAGAATGTGAATTGAATCGCCGTTGGAGGCATGCGAAAAAAGAAACCAACAACAGTAAAGCCGGCATACATATTCATAGCTTTAGACACAATACAACATGTTCATATCTCATATCTGTCATTAACATAATACAATAATACTGCATTTAAATGCACTATGCTATTATGCCAAAGTACCCGGCTACATTGCTGAGCTGGTATCTCTGAGCTACCTTCCTTGCATTGCCTTTCATTCTGTTTAGCATGCCATGTAATTAGACAATCAGCAAACATTTCAAATTCATAAAGAAAACCTAGTTTATATTTTTTCTTCACATGGATTCACACTCACACTCACTCACATATGAAACTCACTCCATACCCCATTTTAACACTATCTCTAATCCCCCCATTGAATGACTTCCCACGCCGTGCATGGCATGGCAATGGTGAAATTCTCATCAGCTTCGAGTAAAAATGGGGAGGATTAGTCCCCAACACTTCACTTGGAAAACAACAACAACCTCACACAGAAAGTGTCTTCGTAAAAACACATAGATTTTCTCGTCAATTTACCTCGGCAACAATAACAACAACTACAGCAATTACTATGTGGTGCCTGAATAAGGCGGAGATTATAATTGTCGTGTCGGCAATTAAAGCAAAATAGTCAAGCAGCTAACAAAGAAATTATGAAAATAATTGAAAATGAAAATGGTAAAAACATTTTTCTCATGGAAAAAAATGAATGTAGACATTTTTTCTAACTATTTCGCAAAGAAAATTGTAATATCGTAAATTTACGATATTGTCTAAAACGCACAAAATGCATACAAAAGGCTCACAATTGTTTAAAACGATGAAAAGACGAAGTTTTATAAGGTTTTTCAACTAAAAAATCGAATATCGTAAATTTACGATATTCTCTAAAAAGCACTGAAATTTAAATTTCGACATATAAATTATCAATATATAGATGCATACAACAAATTTACCATAAAATTTGAATTTTTTAAAAGTTTTACAATGAAAAATTCAAATATCGTAAATTTACGATATTGTCTTAAAGTACAGAAATTGAAATTTAGACATCTAAAATATTATTATATATATACAGACAACAGATTCAGAAAAAAATATTTTTTCTTGGGTGTTTTAGAAGCAAACATCGAATATTGTAAATTTACGATATTCTCTAAAAGCATATAAAATAGCATTTGAGCACTTACTATCATCAATACATAGTTCTATAAAAAATAATTACCCAAAAATTTCAATTTTTATATGTATTTTTAAACAAAAATCTAATATCGTAGATTTACGATATTAGATAATTGCAATATAGACATCTACTCTTATCTATTTATTATTTTTTATGCAATATTTATACAAAAAAATTCAGTTTTTATACAATTTAAAAAAGAAAAATCGAATATCGTAATTTTACGATATTCTCTAAATGCCTAGAAATTGCAATTTGAACGCCTAATATCATCTATTTATAGTTCTATACAAAATTACGGACCAAAATTTCAATTTTTATAGAATTTTACAAAGAAATTATGAAATCGTAAATTTACGATATTTCCGAAATGCACTGCAATTGCCAATTTATACGCTAAATATTATTAATTTGTAGTTCTATATAAAAATATACCCAACAATTTGAACTTTTACATTATTTTACAAAAAAGAATAGAATATCGTAAATTTACGATATTCTCTAAATGCACAAAAATTGCAATTTAAAAACATTATATAATAAATTTTTAGTTTTAGACGAAATCTTTAACAAAAAATTAAATATTTTTAATGTGTTATAAGGAAAAATCAAATATCGTAATATTACGATATTCTCTAATTACTTGGAAAATGACAATGACAGCATTAATACATGATACTAAAGAAAGTATATACCCAACATTTTCAACTTTTATACATTTTTAAAGAAAAATCGAATATCGTAAAATTACGATATTCTCTAAATGAACAGAAATTGCTATTATTATCTATTTATTATATTTTCATATAATATTAATACAAAAATTTCAATTTTTATAAATGTTTTCAAAGGAAAATCGAATATCGTAAATTTACGATATTGCATAAAAACATGGAATTGCAATAAATTAAAATTTTAACATTTTTATTCTTTATTTCTTGTTTTATGTTCCATAACTACTCACAAATTTTAGATTTTACGATACATTCACTCATTAAAAATTTACGATATTAGAATTTAACTCTTAAAATTTCTTGCAAATCACACATTTTTTTTAATAAATA